AAATACGAACAGATAAAGATACACACAAACTCCTACTACAGTATCTCAATCTCTCTATGAATATAAAACAAGTAAAAATACAGTGTTTACAACTGTAGAAGTGTAAAGTCTTGAACAGGGGGAGAATGGGTTTGTCTATCACCCAGACTCAATCCGAAGAATTGGAAAATAACCCTTTTGCCTGAAAGACAGTCTGGTGATGTGTTAGAGTATGGTTAGAACTTAGAGACACGCTGCTGTACAGTGTACCTGAGTAAATCAAGAGTATACTACCTTCAAGATGCAAGATGCATACAGTATACATGTATGACTCACACGATGGTGTCAATCAAAATCTGTGACTGCGTTGCAAATTTGCATAAGGGCCTATGCATCATCCAACTGGACGACTGGACTACAGGTGACCACTTGAAGAAAAAAATGCACCTTTTCGGCTATCTCCTTTAAAGTGATGCCAATATATGGGGCAAGTTTTTACAGTGTAAAGTATACAATATGTATGAGGCCTTCTTCAGATGAGTCATTGTACAGTTTCATTTTTTTTACATGATCGCACACACTTTCAAGAAATAAAATCAAGGGTACTTTCAATATCTTATTGTATTTCTTTAAAAATTATGTTCAGATTATGTACCGGTACATGTAATACATGAGCAAACAGTTCAAAAGGTGATCGTCAGATAGGGCTATTGAAATGCCTTTAGTTGACTTTTCAAAAGTCTTCATGATAATGTTACCTCCTCTTATTTGCTTTAAGAGTCACTTACAAAATGAATTCTCATCAAAAACATCCTCTACATGTATTCCAAAGTCCTAAACTCGATATTGGCAACTTCTGACCTACATATTGTTTTGTCTTACAATACATGTCAGAATACAGGCGGTTACGTGCTAGTAGCAACGTTCATTACATGATATTTGAATATTTCAGAAAGTAAACATACTTCAACCTACTACAGTTTACACAACTGCATGCATAGTAAATATAATAAATGAAGAGATAAGGGACAGAGGACCACTTGCAACGATAAACTGTTGTTAATGATGGGAGATTACAATTTAAAAAATATTTTGGAGCATGGTGAAACTGCACGTTCTCAACAAGATTTTTTTTTTTTTTTCCATATTTTTTCCCTCCACAGGGATTTTATTGATTTTCATTTGAACATAAATAAAATTGGGTTTTTTGGGGTTTGAAATGACAGTTGGCTCTCAGGATAATTATTAATTAATAAGTGATCATTTTGCTATCAAGCAAATTCTATTTCTAAAGTTATGAGTAAGCAGAATGCAAACTAAAAGATGTACAGGTGACAAAGAAACATCTAGTGTCCCATGTGCCTCCCCCTCCTCTTAAATACAGCCAAACTGCCTGATCCGCTGTACTTGAACAAGACTGGGTACATGTACATGCCTTGACTGCCTTTGAAAAAAATAAAGTAAAAAGGTAAACTCACACCTGTGTAAATCAAGTCATGTTGATTGAACCATGGAGTGGGCTTGAGATGAAAAGCAAATTGAGTTGCACTGGGGGTCAATTCTGGCCTCAATCATTCAATGGCCAACAAATTCATAACAACAAATATTAATATCCTTTCTCCTTGTCACAGGGTCATAAATTTTGAGAGGCAGGGGATGGCCTTGGTTTGGGACTGTGTTTCAGGAGCTCAACAAACATATATCATCTTAAATGACTTTTGATTGTGTGCTGTATGGAGTTGGTCAAATTTACATCCATTTTTTTTCACCTTGTTATTCGTTTTTTCAACAAAAAAATCTTTGAGAATAATCCTTTGTGGTCAGTGGCCAATGTGCTGTCACTCAAGCTCCTGTATATTGGTAGATCTGTTTTCCCATCAGTTATCAGTATTTGGACTGGTTTTGCCCATCAATGAATGAAATGGAAGTTGGAACTGACTAATTGTTGTGCAACTCGATGTGTTTTACCTATTTTACTTACAAGTACATGTACTATAAATAAGTCATGTACATTTGTACCAATGCTGACAGAATTAGTTCTTTTCCCCATATGCATGTACACAATGTCAAATCCTAAACCAAAATAGTGGAAGTCATAACAGATGTGCAGCACATACAGTATTTGTTGGCATGTTGCCATAAATATAAAACACACAATCATTTTACACATTGCCAAAACATACATGTACAAACATGTACATGTGCCATAAATTGAGATATTATCTTGCCAACATGAGGAAATCAAAACACCAGACAGGGTGATACCTTTATAACACCTGAGCGACATTACACCTGCACAAGCAGGTATAACAAGTAATTAATCCAGCCAATGGATAATGCAGGGAATTGAAACATCACATTGCCAACATGAGTTATCAAAGCACCATACAGGATAACATCTTTGTAACACCTGATTAACGGATCCGGTGTAATCATTATTAGCCAATGGATAATACAGGGAATTGAGACATAACCTGCCAACACTGTGTAAATCAAAGCACCAGACATGTCTGACAGGAAAACACCTTCATAACACCTGAATGACGTTACACCTCCAAACAGGTGTAACAAGTCATCTGTAATCAATCCTAGCTAGCCCATGGATAATGCAGGATGCAACGAAAGAGAAACTGAAGGGTAGAGAGGTGAAGGATGTGTGCCTGTCTCTCCCAGAGACAAATACATGTACACTACCGCAATATTTGATGGCATGGCATTATAGAAAGGGTATTAGGATTGGATTACAAATAGAAGTGTACGTGTAAAAGGAACTACATGTACAAGGTACACTACCGGGACACGTAACTGAATTTGATTTCCACAGACATGTGACATGTTCTTCTTGACAAAGTGATGGGGAAAGACAGTACAATGTACAAAGTTTGCAAGAATGATTATTGATCCATGAATGTATTCCTTATTTGGAAAATGCAAAAGGGCAAAGTTGAATTTGGAGGGAAAAAAAGTTGTTCTACTTGCATTAATGAAATCAGGTTTTTGCACCAGATGGTAAGATGTGCAACCGTTTGCAACCTGGATTTGTAAAGATCTGTATTTACATTTTACAAGTGATGAAGTTTGACAGAAATTTGCAGGAGGTTCTAATCCATTAAATTGTGTATATTTACAATGCAAGGAGATGGAGTTAAAAACAAATATAGGATTCTAAAAAGAACTCTATCCAAAATTCCAAATCAAATGCTTTTTTTTTTTACTAAATTAAATAATTACGTTTTAATTATGTACAGGCCTATCTGAACAATAAATACCAAACTATATTTTAAGATGTACATGTACAGTACATGTACACACAAAGTTGAAGATCTTATGATACAAACATCACTTACATGAATTGTTGTCAGGAAAATAGCTTATATTTCACTGTATTTTTGAAAAATTTGATGCTTAATTCAAAGGTGTTATCTTTTGAAATGCAATCTCATTGCAATATCTCGGGACATATCCGAAAAAACATGTAGTACATACTGCAGCATATCAAGTTAGCTGCCCTAAACTAAACATTGTATCAAACACCATTGTCACTATACACTGACTGTCCTTTTAACAGAGTGGGATATTACCTAGGGGACAAAAGGCTTTTGGAAGATTTCGCAGAGACATAAAATAAGGATCTCCTTTTGAGGAGGAGGCGGCTTTCAAGAAGATTTATGGGTGGTTGGTTTTCAAACTGAGGCTCATTATGGGAAGGCTCCATGGCTTTTGTTGGTGTGGGATTTTGTCAGCTTTAAAGAGATGAATGTCTTTGCTAAAGCTTAAGGGGAGGGGTGGAAGACTGGTTCAGTGAGTCTCCATGGGTTGGCTACTTGACGGCACACTATGGAAGTACACCAGTTGTGTCCTACACTACGGACTGGATCTGTACAGGGTACAAGCTATCATTTACCTTTACCTTTACCGCAAATACTGGAAGAATGCTGAGACAGCAGTCGAGCTTCCAGGTCTATCTTCTTGTACTCATACTCTTTAATAATAATTCTCATTATATGCCAGGGAGGCAGAGGGGCAAGATGTTGCATCTTGACTGGACAATGTACCATGTACAATGTCCCAGGAGCAAAGAAATTGAAAAAATCAGTTCGAGTATTGAGAGATATGACACTGTTCCTTCCAGCAACGATCAAGCCTGGTAAAAATTTGTGTGTTTGAAGCCACAAGAAAGTACAGGTTGTAAGATCTTTTTAAACACAGAGTGAAAATTCTTCATTCCCTCCTTACTCCAACTTAAAAGATGTAGAATGTATATGCTGTTTGGAGAAGAATAGCATATATCTACATTGTACCTCACATTTTAATTGATCACTACATCACTCTTATAAGTCATTATCAACTTTCAATAATCTACTGACCTACATGTATGAAGTAGTTTTCAATGAAAAGGGAGTCTACAAAGCAAATCCTATTTTTTTTAAATAAATTATTTCAATGGCATCACTTATACTTTACTCTTAGTGGATATATACAGTATAATTCCATGATTCAATCATGCTATGATCTACATGTACATGTATATAATAATCCAACCAAGATTTATCACATCAATTCTAAATCTAAGTTCTACTTCTACTTCTAGTGAGAAAACTCAGCTCAACAGAGTATCCACCAAGTCTTCAGCCTTCAGAGTTTGAAGTGTGTAAAACTTTGGTGCCTTCTAGTTCTACTAGTCAAGTGAATAATGTATCACCTTTCTGCGAATCCTCCGGATCCTGCAGTTCTCCAGTATTGGAGAAATTCAACAAAAGAAGAAGAATAGACTATCACAACATGCTTTGTCATCTTGTGCAAACTGTCATACTTTCCAACTGCACTGCAGTACACATTTATTTAGTGAGTTTTTCACATACATGTAGACCCTATAGGGGGCTATGTACTTTCAAACATCTGATCCACAGTTTCATTAACGCTCTTCCCAATCACATCAAGTGATTCACAATCACATCTCAACACTCCCATCCCGTTCTTAATCTTAGGCGCGTAGGACCAAAACCATGATGTAAACTTACCAATAATGAATGTTATTCCAATTAAATCGATGTATCCCGTTGATATAGTCCACAGAATTTTAAATGCCGGCTTGATGATGTCGTTTTGTACACCTTAAATGCATGCAAACGGCCTCAGCTCCAAAGTTCAATCTCGTTATGCGGAATCGGCGGAGATAAAATCACGGCTTACACACACACAGTACACAGAGCCGGAGAACGGGTCCCGGAATTTCTCACGGAGGACACACGTACACCGCACCGGTGTTTTATGTTGTGGGTCTGTACGATCCCCAAATGCTCAGTGCTTCGGTGGTGTTCCAATTTTTCGTCTTGGGTCCTTCCCGTTTCCTCCAAAAAATGCAAACCAAAACTGGTAGCAACTCCCGGTGAGTTATTACCGTTAAAATCAAGGCTCTCGCCTGGTCAATGTAGTTCAAACAATGTTTATGCTAACTTTGGATTGTTGGGCTAGCTCCATCAAGAGCCAATGCAATGGAAATAGATCAACGCGGAAAATGCGTACGGTTACGGAACGCTCGCTTGTCGCCGATCGTCGTTGGCCGAAATCGTTTACGTCGTACACGTAGGTGTATAACAGTACGCGCGGATTCCATATGATCCCCGCGCGGCCGATCGAGATAACGACGAACGGATAGAATCCGATCGATAGGACCCGACTGTCTGCCAAAATTCCTTTATCATGTGTCACTGTTTTGGCCTATCTTTTGGACTCTCGTTCTGAGAAATATAAAACATTCAACAACAAATCCCTTTATCCCGTTTAATCTGTTAATAGAAATTCAATTGATGTCTTCATCTTAAATGGATTTTCTAAAGATACTTGTATAATGGAACGGTGTAGGCCTATAATGCCCACCTCTCTTATCTTTCTCTTCTCAGTTTTCGATCCTCCCGATCATGATGAGGCCTTTTACATGAACTGTGTTAATGTCATGTTGATTAACTATCCAACATGCCATTTTCAGGTGGAAACCAACCCGGCCTCTTCAAGCCACCCCCCCCCCCCCCCAACAGTATCTGTTTTGGTTACACCTTTTCCCCTTTCTTTTTTCTTAGTGGTGGTCAGATTTTTTCCCCCTTCAAATTAACCCCAAAAAGTTGCTATAACTTTCGGAAATGTTCCCACCCTATTGACGAAGTCCTGGATCATGGATTTTAGTCACAACAAAGGATATTGCCAACCTGTCCAAGCGTTATAGGCCTAAAAAAGAAATGTGTATTGCCCTTTGCGACCGACACAAACATCTTGAAATCTACGGTCGACTTTTTTAACAATTTTTTTTTGTTACACCTAAAGGGCAATAAAACCTCTTTTTTAGCCCTTATAGGAGGCGCGGTGGCTCAGTGGTAGAGCAGTTGTCTTGTATAACATGTAGGTCCCAGCTTCAAAATTTGACCACTCACCCACTTGAACGCATAGATCAGTTGTATTTCATCCAACTTATAAAACCATATTCCCAAACACAGTGGGATATCCGCTTACCGGTAATAACTATATAGCCAATGGTGAAGCTGACGTACCGGTATCAAAATTCATTACATTTTGAAACCGACGTCCGTACCCCCTGCCCCCCCCCCCACCCTACTTGTGCCCATCCCACCCTGGAGAGACCTAAACATTAATCTTGTGCACACCCCTCCGCCCCTCCACCCCCTCCCTCCCGCCCCCATCGGAATACCCCAGACGGATCCACATATTGAATATGGATATGTTTTTCTGAACTCAAGCAGGTGTAATAAGTGGTCGCAAGCAACCTATTACAAAACACTTTCCTGTCAGACAAACTGCTTCGAGCACTAAATTATTGGTAATCTATGTAAGCGTAGCTATAAAGTCATCCACTAATAGTCTCTAAAAGCTAAATGTCCATTATGCGCGCTGTTTGTCTGCTCGAGAAAATTGCACTCTAGGTAATTGTAATATTCTTTAATTACATCACACTTATAAATTATGATCTAATATTTGCAAAGGTTATTGTAATATGTTTTTAGTAAGGCAAATATTATGCAGGCTGCTGACGGGATTTGACTGATTATTCTTTTTGTTCTTCCCTTCCGTCTACTTTTCCTTAATTGCATTAAATTCATTCTCTTACTTTTTTTCTATTTTTTAATATATCATACTCCTCACCATGTCATCACCACCTTCAAGTCATTGATCTGTACCAACCCTATCTCTCTGATCTGTACAGATCAGTGTCTAGTCAACATCGATGAAGAGAAAAAGCGGCATCGTAATATAGAGGGCGCCCTCTCTCTGTCTGTGTGCCTCCGTCTGTCTCTCTGTCTGTCTGTCCCTCTCTCTCTCTCTCTCTCTCTCTCTCTCTCTGAGTTTGTATTGTTTTTCCTGATTATCATATTGACAATAATAAGAGGAAAGAAGAACAGACGTTTTTTTTTTTTTTTTTTAATTGGTGTTTAGTCTACATGAATTGAACGAAATATCTACTTTTAAAGTGATTTGGTGACATTGTTGATGAAAAAACTGCGTAATTTTAGTATGAAATGTTACTTAATATATTCATTCAACTGTACTAACCCTCTAACAGCAAATCCTGAACAAATTCTCACTGAACCACAAAGATATCTATGGTTTTCTTTGAAGGCGCCACTGTGCGACACCCTCTTATACAGTAACTTCTCCCAACCACTTTTGAATTTTCCGGACCGTTTTTCCATGAAAATAAAAAATTAAGACAGGCTTTAAAAAAAATCTTTCAACACTTAAATGTCTGGAATGGTATATAGAGCCAATTCATTGCTTTGGATACGACTACATTCACCTAAAATGTAATTAAATTGTAATAATATAGTTGGGAGAATTAAGGAATCGATCAGATCAGTTTTTTCCAAATTGTTATCATTAATAATGGTCTGTTTTTACTCAAACTCATTGAAGTCACTACCTTAGCACATATTCTCACTTGTGAACAATGTTACTCACGGTGCCTTTAATATCTGTTTTATTCAAACCCGACCTATATAGTCAAAATCAGACCGTCAAAACAAAAAAGATTTCTTTCACTCAAAAATAGTAACAGCGGTAATTGATATTTTTCTAATATTAGTTTATACTACTTTGTATTATCGGCGGTCAACATCATCACAATGCTGATTATACGAATTCCCCATGTTTGAAAGACAACAATGTGTTTGAGCGATGAATTCGAAGTTTTGATCAAATATTTGGCTTCTCAGAATGCATGGAAGCATAATTTGTTGACATCGTGTTATTCATGAAAACTATGAGTCATCTCTTTGACGCCGCGTTTAAGTCGCTTCTCATGGGGGGGGGGGGGGGGGGTGAAAAGGGAATTAATATGGTTCGCTTCCAAAGACGTTCGCGTCAAAGAGTTATCGACTGGTATCGATTTCCCAATCACACTTTGGGCTGACCGGTCGTCTGCCGGAAGAAATGGGAAACAGTGATCCTTCACTGACCAGAAGCGAAATCTCCCTTTTAAAAGAAATGTTCTCATCGTGAGAGTATAGCGAACCTCTCTTCAAATCAATTAAAAATAAGAGAGAGAGAGAGAGAGAGAGAGATCAACTCAAGCCAAGAACATGCTATTTTGTTCACAAAAAGAGATGAAAATAGCGCCCCCTCCCCCCCCCCCCCCACTAACCACAGACACAGTGTCGAAATGTCGCTTTAATCAAAATAAATCTATTTACCGTTTGAGTAATGAGACGATTATAGTACTATAGTTAAATGATAAACAAGGAGCTATATTATACAATGTTTTTACTCGTAAAATAAAATGATGCTTATTATCACAACAATCTATAACAGGAGATGAAAGAGGCTAACATCTAACGACCACTTACACAATTATGGAATGTTGCGAATTAATCAAGTGAATTGATAACATTAGTAATGAATAAAGGTATTTTAACATCGTGCCCTTTTTTCCCCCAACGATGTAAACTTCTGCAACAATCGTCGTTTCGTAAGATTTTTTACCAACCTGTACCGGTGATTGCAATGCGCTCTATACAGTGTGAGTAAAAAAAAAGTTTACACCTATAGAAAATTGCTAATCAAATTAATATACAACTTATGAAAGAATATTTAATCCCAAATCATTGGATATCATTTTTGTGTGGTATGTGTTCACGCTTGGATGAACAGGAGGTACTTTCGGGTGTTTTGAAATTTCGGGAAAAAACGGACCCATGTTTAGGGATTTTTTTTGGGTTAAAAATGGGACCCATGTTTAGGGATTTTTGGGGGGTTAAAAATGGGACCCATACATGTTTAGGGATTTTTTTGGGTAAAAAGTGACCCATTAGAGCGGCACACCACCGTATGTATTGATATGTGAGTACCCTCCCCCCCCCCCCCCCCCCCCGAGAGGCTCACATGTCTTCAGTCTCGAAGGCCTTGAATTGGTTTGTAGCCTAAATTTTACACGATCGCAACTACTTTCGAAAATCAAGTGAAGGGCAATTTAAATACATTGTTGTATGTCCCATAGAAATCATGTTTGGAGTCAGTAATTCGTCATTGTCATGTTCGAGCATTTAAGGGTTTTTTTCTCGAGGGTATAGTTTTTATTGTGTTGTATATAAACGAAAATATCATACTACGTAATAATTATATTGAACAAGTTTAATTCCAATATTTTTTTCGCTATAACAGAAATTTAAGAAATACTATTATTATCAAGATCGTCTTTAAGTTGAATGATTGATTTTTAACAGTATTTTGCTTCTATTTATTTACAGGATATCATTATTATTATCACTGGGAGATTTCTAAGGGTCTCATAATGAGTGATTGACGAGAACTGAAGTATTTTTAAATGGTTCCAGTGAACTGAATTCCATAAATCTAGGCCAATCACTGTCTTATAGCCTAAAGGAGCATGACTAATTACGTTGCACTGTGATGAACAAAGAAATCAATCATTCAACATTTCGATGCTGTATAATAATTATTTCTTAAATTACTTTTGTGACATTCTGAAAGTCAGAGTGACAGAGTGAGTCATAATGAGAAATTAATCACTCTTTTGGGAAAGCTCGTGCATTTATTGGGCTAAAACATGTCCGATAAAAGGATAAAAATGAAAATGGACAAAAAATAAATCATTGCGCATTAAAGGTACTATGTCCCATTTGCAGGCCAAAAAAATGAAAAAGTTAAATTCCAACTGCATTTGAAAGATAATACTTATTTAGAACTTCCCTAAAAAAGGTGGGGCTTGAAAATGTCTTCAAGTGGGAAAATAATGACTATTAGTTGTCAAATCGACTTTAGGGCTATAGAGCCCAAAAGTAATAGTCTTGATTTTTAGACAATTGTACCGAATGGTCATACGTTTTATGCTGCGCAAAGATTCGATTAGTTTAATCTTGGCCATCACAAGAAGTGGGTTATTGATGTAGACAAATGCTCATGTACCCTTTACAACTTTTTTCATGTATATTATTACCAAAGAAGAAAAAAGCCAGTCAGTCACTCAATAGTATCTGACAGTGAAGTCTAGCAAGTAAACGGGTTTCCTTGCATAATTTGAATATGAGGACACTGCTTACGTTTAAATTTCACAGATAGGACATACATGACATATTCATAATTCCTGCAAAGTTCTACAGAATTTGAGGTTGGCTGCAAAAGGGATATAGTACCTTTAAAGAGAATATAGAAAATTTCAAAGAAAGTACTGTAATTCATTAGAATGTATGCGTTTGCCGATACATTGTATTTTTCTATTGTCTGGATTAATATATAAACAATAGACTGAACATTATCTTGCGCTTTTTACAATTTTTACCTTCAATTTGATATTCTATTAGTTATGTTATATATATATATATATATATATATATATATATATTATACCCATCCTCTTATTCGTGTCTTGTTTTTTGTTTCTTGTTTTTTTTCTTGTTTTTCTCTTATGTTTACCTTGATGTTTTTTATGTTATGTTATCGGTTTTACAGTTTTACTCGTATGCATGTTGTCGTTCTAGTTGAATATCTGCAATTAACTGTCTTAGTGCTTGTTTGTTTTGTACATTAATATGTTAGATATTTATTTGTTGTAACTATACATGTACATATTCATTGCCTTACTTCTTGCATTTGTAAGTTTTACATATTATTGTATAATTCACTGTATATTTATTGTTATTTTTATGTATGTGGACCCCTTTGAAAATCAGCTGTGCTGAAAGGGCCATCCACCCTATGAGAGGAAATAAATAAATAAATAAATATGTTTCCTTGCTTCAATACTGACGGACCACTTACGACTCATATCTATTGTCGTAATATCTATCGACTAACGTTTATAAACATAATTTTTATCGAATGGGGAGTCTCGTTTGAAAGCGAGATGACGCCTTATATAATTTTCAGATTTATCGAAATGGTCCTGAGTTTTTTCTTTTGTTTCCATAAAAGCACTTTAAAGAATTTGTTGTTGTTTATATATCTCATCGACTCACATGCTGGAGGTGTCGTGGTCTATGGACTACGTCACTGGACTGTAGATCACATGGGGAAGCCCTATTTTTTTTTTTTTGGGGGGGGGGGGCTCAACGGGGAAGGGGGAGTGAACACTCCTTTTTTTTCTCAACACCCACCCCCCCCCCCCCCCCGCCCTTTGAGCAACCCAAAAAGCAAAAAAGAATTTATGTTATCATCTTTTTTTAAACCTGTTTTTTTGTCAGGGGCCCGTCGCCCCCCCCCCCCCCCCCCCGTTTCTCGCAACTGTCATAAATCAGCGCTAGTATACGCTCCTTGTCCGCTACGCGTTCCACGAAGCCCTCTTTGCCAAGATCAAGGACAACATCCTCTCATAATTATCTCTAACATAACTTTTTAGTCGATGTGCAGCGCCATCACATGTCATTTATATGGTAGACCATGGCTGGCAAAAAATGTTTATTTAATAAATATAATAATATCAACATGCAGATTATTTTATGTATTGATTTGTTATTGTTTGTTATTGTTATTTTTGTAATTGTTTGTGAAAAGCAATGGAGAAAATAAAATATCATTGGAAAAGAAAGGGGGGGGGGGGAGGACAAGAAGTCCCTGCCTGTAGCTATGACCTTTCTACACATTCTTTTATATGAACATTATATCTAAGGTTTCTTTTCTTCCACCGAACTAAACTGCTTCTACGCCATTTTTTTCTACATTGTCATTAAAAAAAAAAATGAATTCACGTCATTACGTACAATACCGTAAGGGATTGGAACATAAAAATCACTAAAATAAAAAACCTAACAAACCTAAAGTAAAAAAAAAGAAAAGACATGATCGGATAGCAAACGTTAAAAATGTGTATATTCCCCCTAGAAAGACTGACCTCGCCATAAATCATTACACTAAAAAGAAAAGAAAACATATAGATCAAAGTAATCTGTAAAAGCCCAATGAATCATGACAACTTGACAAGATTTACCATTTCGAAGAAAAAAAAATTGATTCACAGCTGTTAATACAGTTCTACTTAAAGTCTCTAACTATATACTTAACTATTCATTTACAATTTAATTACATACGATATAATCAGTTTAAAGTGAACATAACATTGCTTCTATAATAAGTGGACTAACAAATTCAATATTTGTATGGAAAGAAAATATCGAAAGATCTTGGTAAAAAAACTACAACTGTTTTCTTGGAAACAGTTAACTCCTGTCAAGGGATGCCTGCCACGGCAGGCAAGTTATAGTCAGAAATATGTTCTCTACTTTTCGGACTCATACCAATTTTTATATAAATTCTATCACCAAATGTGTAAACTGAATAGTTTAAAACATGTGTTTTGACGTTTAGAAGGCTTCAGTTGAAGCCTAAAACACAGGACACAACTTTCATATTATTGTTTACTAAGCCTAGAATACAAGGGTGTATGTTTTTAAATAAACTATCAAATGAAAATACCGGGGAATGCCCATCTCAAGAACAAAACTCAATCAACTGTCATAAAATGAACTACCCACACATTTAGTTTACATGTAATTCTGTAGTATATAATCTACACAATTTCTGAAGTATTTTGTATCTTTTGTCAACTACACTGTTTGCAACATTGTCATTATATTTTTTTCTTCATTTTTTTCTGCATGAGATGGAATTGCGACTTAGGCTAAGTCTCGGCTCCTCATCTCGCTGATGGTATCGCTTTCATGAGATGTATAAAGCTAATAATTTAGGAAGATGAAAGCGGGGATGAGATCATGAGAGACATCTTCGTAGTTGGCGGATAAAGGTATGACTGTCTTGTCGTTTGGTCTCGAGACGGGCCCCTGCCACTGATCTCTACGGAAATTTTTTTCCGTAGAGATCAGTGGCCCCTGCACATCAAAGGGAAGAGCGCCATCTCTCGCATTAACAACAACAACGATGGCGTCTGTTGCTAGCTGTTTTGGATTCACATCCGTGTTCCTGTTTCTTGTGTTAATCGTGGTTTCTGTTCCTCAAAGTGAGTAGTTATTAATCAGGTTTTGAATGTATTAACTCTTCATGTGTGGTTGTATCTATTGAGGGCATATGTAGTCTGATATTGACCAGAATTGTCCGGTTCATACCATGTAACTTTACTACAGTCCCATGTCATTTGTATTGCAGTGGTGTTAGAATTTATATTTTACTCGCTCATATATGAAGAAGGAAAAGAAAAAGGGAAAGAGAAGAAAAAGAAGAAAAAGGTAAATGAAGGAGAAGAAGAAGAAGAAGAAGAAGAAGAAGAAGAAGAAGAAGAAGAAGAAGAAGAAGAAGAAGAAGAAGAAGAAGGAGAAGAGGAAGAAGAAGGAGAAGAGGAAGAAGAAGGAGAAGAGGAAGAAGAAGGAGAAGAGGAAGAAGAAGGAAGAAGAATAGAGGATACAGGAATGTAGATCTCTACAAGAACAGGCTATTTGGAGTCATTTAAATGATGAGAGTAGACCTAAAGGATGAGGAGAAAAGGGAGAGACAGAAAGGAAAGGGATCGGGAGAGTAAGAAACAAGGGCAAGGAGAAGAATAAAAATGACAGTTATATCTTGGTGCAATCAAAGCATCATTAGTATTAGGGTGTCTGATCGCGCACCCGATGTTGTGTGCTAAAATTCTTCCCATAGAGATTACACGCATCCCTATGCAGTCTACGTGCATTGCGCGACCATGCAAAAAAAGTCAATTTTTTTTTTTCAATTCGAGATTCAAACCTTTATCTGTTGTGATCCTGAAGGTGATAATCAATAAATGAGGTGTCATATGAAAGAGCAGGTAAATTCCAATATTTCTAAAGGGGCGTAGCCCCCGAAATTCTAAAAATATCTTGGTCAAAACAGCAATTGAAACATTGTGTCCTGGCTAACTCTGAGGTTTGTCACTTTTGAGATATGACGCCCCGATCGATAAATAGTCCCAGTCCTAAGGAACAATTCTATGTGCTTATATTTTCGCTAGCCCCCAGGGATCACAACTGATAACAGTTTAAAAATACCCTTCTCGCTATTTGGTGGATCAGCTAATTAGGGGGCGTGCGCTCCGCTCAGTCCAAACCATGGTTACATCGCGTAACATCTCCGCGCACGAACGAAACCCCAAATTCAAGTATGGGTGGCCATTCGCGGCATAGAACCCGGAAGTGAATACACGTTATAGTCAATGGCAATATCGCGGAGATATCTCCGCGATATTGCCATTGACTATAACGTGCATTCACTTCCGGGTTTATTGTGCGACGAACGCCAACCATACTAGTCAAAGGCACATGTCGCGGAGACAGCGTAGCTCAAGCTGCAAGTCGCGGATTGGCTTAGCAGCATGCGTACGATATGCATACGCTTGCATATCGCGCGATACAGCTGTTTGGCTAAATTTAGCAAAACAACATCACTCTGCGTAGACGTCTTTTTCGTCGATTTTGACCAAAATGATATGAATATACCAGCGTTTTGAAGGGGCTGTAACTTTTGATAGAAACATCGGTGAGACTTGAAATTTGAAATGTATTATTCTGATAACATCTTTTATTCAAATATCAAACAAAAATGGTGAAAAACGATCCCAAATTGAAAATTGAAAAATCGTTCAGACACCCTATTAGTATACTTTGTATGTAATTAAATCAGTGAGGTTTTGGTGCTCTTTAAATTCCTGGATTGTGCTACATTTGTTGCTATTCAGTATCCTAATCATATTTTTTTTCTCAAATATTTGTGTAATTTATCATTCTAATTCACCTTGTCTTTGATTTGCAACTGCAGCTGTGAGTGAAAAATCATTAGACCCAGAGTCGCAAATTTTAGATGACCAGCTTTCAAATGTTGCTTCAAAAAGCAGAGAAGAACTTGTATCTACACGACCACCTGTATCTGATCAGGATCATGTATCAAACAGCACAGAAAACCTGCGAGGAAAAGAGACTGAGCACAGATCATCTCTTCCAAGATACCTGCAAACGTTATTGCTCTATCATCTAAAAAGAAGTACACATTCACCAGTCTGCATTCTTTTTACACAGAAAGGTAACTACCATACATGTACTGGTAAATATGTCAACTGCTGGTATGAAAATAAAAGGAGCTGCCTTTGTGCAAAAAAAAAAATTTATTCATGAAAATGTTCAAATGAAATGACTCTCATATTCAAATAACAATCAATATGTTATTGAAATTACTCATGAAAGCATTTTGTAAGAATACTCTTAAACCTATTTCTACAGCATGTTATTGTATAGCCACACACACACACACACACACTGGCCATAGAACGTTCGTGTTCCATGGGTGGGGGTGCTGTAGAAATGGGGTTAAACATACAAGACATTTGATTGTTGTCAGCATAAACTTTGAATTAAAATGGATGACATTCAACCGTCTTTTTGAATAGTAAATGTTATCTATTTTGATGAGAATAATGAAAGGTTAGATTTCTTGTGTATGTAAACCTTTTAAAAATTGTTTAGAACTACACTGGCTTACAGATACTGGTAGAATTTAATACTGGATACTTGCTCAAACTTTTAAAGCTGTATCGACCGGTGTCAACTATGTGTAAACTCCCTGCATTTCTAAAAATAGTACTTTCACTTGATTTCTTCAAAATAAATATTCTAAAAACAGACTGAATATGTTAATATACTAGGGACAGCACCTTGTATTTTCTTGAAAAGGTGCTGTATAAATCCAATTTTTATTGATAGCAGTATTGTTGTTTTTATTATTATAATAATGCCTTTGGTAAAAACTGCATGACCTTTTTTTGCTTCTTTCAGATTCAAATTTTGAGCTTGAGGAAAAGGTTTCGAAGCTATGGAGCAAGCTGTCGGCCTATCTCTTGTTCCAGAGCTGGAAAGTTGGAGTGTATGATGTGGCCAACGGGGTAGGTGTTTTAAATGGAATAAGTTGTTAGACTAAGTGACAAGGTATGTATAATACCGGTACAACATAGCTGCCAATCATTCTTACTTTGCAGTAATAATTCCTATTTTTCTGCCTTCAGATCTGTGACATGAAAGCTATATCCCTCTTTGTTTGCTGAAAACATCTGTATCAAAATTGTGTAGAATACGCTATATTCCTATTTGGGTTTTGGATATTCCTAATTGTTGCTGCGGAAGGTTGGTAAGTTTGATAATATGAAAATTGTTTGTCTATTTCTCCTGATAGCTTTTCACTTGTATGTGATCAAGCGATTGATCACTCACAAAATATTAGGTCACTAGTGCCGCCTGTTGTCAAGTTACGATATCAATCACATACACGATGTAATCCAGACTTAGTATAACAATAGTTTCTTGCCCTAAAGATTTATAAGCGGTATGCACAATATCATAGATTTATGGCACAATAGTGCTAGTATCAAAGCTGCTTGTGAATTCTTTTTAATCAAGTTTAATCAGTCTTTGCCATTTTGTGATTGACATCTTTAAAGAAGGGTCATAGAGTTTTATGCCATAACCAAGTAAGTTCCAAATATTCAGATGTTTCCGAAATCCAAGCTGCATGTGAGAAATTGTACATAACAAATATGTACGAGGGTTCTGTGGTGTGATGCCTGTGGAACTGAAGGATCTGTTAACCCATCTATATTTGGTCTTGATTTTCATGTTTGTTTTCTTTCCTTCCATCGCTACAGCCCTTGAGGGGTCTCACTGTACCACACAGTTTGCCTTCATTGAGGTGTTATGTCGGAACAGCAGAGCCCGAAGAGTACACTAGTAGACCAAGCCTTCAAAGGCTTCTCCAATGGTTCAAAATGATGGTGAGCTTTTCAACTGTGTGTTTGCACCACTTTCAGTGAAGATAATTAGAACAGGACCAAACACAAAAGAAGTCTATTGGTCTGTGTTTTTGTAGCTCCATGGTGGACTACTATTCAATTTATCTACAAAGTACTTTGTAAAATATATCTGGCATGGAAAGTGATAAAAGGCCTGAAGAATTAATGAGGAGGCAAAAACCTGTAGCACAATATGGGACAAGCAATACAAAAGGGGAAGGGATGGATGAATGTTTAAGAAATATTTTCACTCTTTGGCCAAGAGATATATTTTGTAAAATCTGTTGATGGAAAAACAGAGATTTTGCGCTCAAACAAATGTGATCTTGAATTAGGAGTGGTGTGACACTCTGAAAAATGTAATTCAAAATTACAACGATTGATTTTTGTTGTTGATGAATTCAATTTCAGGCTCACAAGTATCGTAATCGTATAGTGGAGGCTAATCTGGATTCCCTGAGGAAGGCTGTCTCTGATGAGAGTAAGCTGACTGTCCTCGCTTTTCCTGGAGAAGAGAAACACTTTGAGATTGAATGGATGCTGTTAGAGGTAAAGAATGATTTATTCAGGACGACCTTAGACTTAGAGATGTACTCTCAATGTTTTGATTTTAGTTTTCAATTGTCTTTATTTTGATGTTTCTTCTAGTTCTACTGATGTCTTGTCTTCAATCTAAGTACAGCCTAGGGAATATTACAACATTCTGAATGTGAATCTTTGGCTCTGAATGCTCCAATGTTTCAGAGATATGCAACAACTAAGAATGAAATTAATCCCAAATACCGCTATGTTTATTTTTGGATAGATAAATAAAACTGATATGTATTTTTTTTAATGAGTTTGGGGCAGTATTTGTTAATATCTTCCTGCAAAAATGCAAACTTAGAGTTATTACTTAGAGTTATATTATTATTATTATCATCTTAGGGTCTAAAGAAAAGAAAGAGATAAAGTAAGAACCCCTCCTGCTAAGTTATATTGCCTTACAAAGTGTAAACTAACATCTTTGATTTGGTTTTCCTTCCAGTTCAAGTCATCTCACCCAAACGATCTACAGCTCTTTGTAGTTCACCCTGGCTCAGTGAATGAGAGCTCACTTCAAAACAAGTTCAACGTCAAAGTAGAACCAACTATACTGGCTTTCAAGAAAGGAGGTAAGGAACTATTGACAATTGTAATCCCTGAATCCTTTCAACCTTATGTACACTGTAAGACATAGGTGTACAGAGAATTCTGTATTTAAAGATTGCTCGAGGGAGACAAGAAAAGTGGCCTTTATGTACAGGTTCACTTAGTACACATTTCAGTGAGAAATTATTATTATTATTCAAGGGAAACATAAAGTGGGGTCTCTATAGACAGGTAGTCTTTCTATACAGGTGGTCGCTTAAGCAGGTTTCACTGTAATTCCCTCTCATAGTGACAGGGTAAACTCTTTCATTCTTGCAGACTATGTGTTAGGTACCAGTAGATTAGGATGGTTACATTTATAAAAAACTTAGTTGACATGAATATGAGGAAGACTTTCAAGGCATATGGTTGGTAATCAAGCTCAATAGGCCACATCTTTTTCTAAGTTTTTTATTAAGACTTTAGCCAACATGAAGATGAGGCAATTTTGAGGCCTTTGTCCTCTTTGCATTCCAGATGAGATTGAAATTTTGTTTGTTCTTGAAGAGTTCAGCGTTACTAGTGTGAAGTAAAGCTCAAAATGTACATTTAACTCTTTACTGTTCAATACTCTTCCTGATGTTGTGTGACCAACATACAGACCAGCGTCTCCGAGTCCTGCAGAGGTTTGAGGAACCCCTTGTTACCAGACAGTTTGTGGAACCCTTCATCATGTCTCAGACATCATCTGCTATCTCTCTCACAGTGGTAAGTGATAAAATAAAGGGCCCTTGGTCAGCAGGTCAGGATTCAAATCCCTAATGTAGCACTAGATAGACCAGTAAAGATCAGTTACATGCAATACAGTCAAACATGTCTATGGAGGCCACCCAAGGAAAAGGCTGGACGTTTGCGGGGAATGAGAATTCCTTCACCCTTTTCCAAAACTTTGATGTTGCGTGCGTGATTCCTTTGTTTCGAAGCAATTCCAGTAAATACCCGTGATGATGTTTGTTGTTCTTTAGAAAACTGAATGCTTCTTGTACTTTTGGCTTTGTGGAATGGTGTGTTTGTAAATGCCTTGTAATTTTGGGGTCACTCTTGCAGGACAAACTATAGTAACGTTTATTCCGTTTTCTTGCATCTTTGTTTTTGGCCGTCATAAATTTTACACCTGCACATTTCCTCTCTGGTGCTATAAAGCCTTACAAACATTTAAGAAAGGTGCCAATGACAGTTAATGTGAGGTTTACCATCATTACTTAATACTGCATACTGACTCTAACAAGATGCCAGCCGAGAAGGGGTGAAGTTTGTTACACTTACAATCACAACAATATAACGTAACCCTCGTAGAGGGCGATATTAACCACTTGCGTTCACCATGTCTGATCACCATTCACCATCATTCTGCAGTGCTCAGACCCATCTTCTTAATTTCTATTTGATAGATGTAGCTCCCCAATCTCGTAACATGGTCTTGCAATTTGTGTAATGCCCTTCTAGTTATTCCTGCAAATTATATTTTAAATCATTTAACAGAATAACTTTCAGCAAGAGGTTTTCAGTGGAAATGCCATGCCCATTCTGGTATGTTTCTACACCCACTGGGCTGAGCGTGTGGTTCCTTACCTCCACGCCTTTGTGGAGTCCGTCAAGGTCTTCAGGGACCATGGGGCCAAACTGAGATTTGGCATTGTGGATGTCGAGGCACAGCAAGATAGTAAGTGTTTATTTACCATGGATATCTTTTAAGGAAAATACAATACCAGTGTCAATGCAAATTATTATTTATGAGTTTTATGATGCTTGAGAAAACAACAATCTGGAACTTACTCCCCATTTTTCTTTTATATGTGTTTGTTAAATGGATAGAGAAATTAAAAGAACTCTGGCTGTCTTTTAACACATTAATCAAATATCATTTTGTTTGAAAATACCTACATGTAATATGATTTTCCGACATTGATAGAATAATGCACCATTCTGTCATAACTGTGTTTTTTGGGGTAATATTTTATTTGGCATCTAGCTCTTGGTTTTCTTCATACATGTAGTATGAAAAAACAAAGCACATTTAACACTAGGACCTTATTCTATAACTGTATATTTGAGATGTACTGCTGCTACTACAGTTAACAACTAAATTATTCATACCCCTTGTGAATTATATGTTTTTTGTGTTTTTTGTAACTCAAGAATGAGAGATGGACTGGTAAAACACCAGAAAGGGCCTTTGTTGAATACTTTTAGATCTTGGTTTTGATATGTCACATTCTCAAGAAACATAAATTGGGACAAATCAATTTTTCGCATACAATTAAATAACAAAACTCGGTAAAGTTATGAATAATATAGTTGTTAACTGTATATGTTGTATTCTTGTTTGTCTTTTGATTGTTTTGTATTTTTATCAGATTATGGAAATAAACTTGAATTGAATTTTTGTTCCTTTTTTCTTTTCTTATTTGTCCAGTTGTTCCACGTTGGCTGCATGCAGCAGGTATAGAAGGAATGCCTTTCAGTATTCTCTTCTGGAGGAAGCCTGGTCTTGACAAAGGTAAGGTCATATACAAGTTATATTCATCAATCGACTGCATTTTGGGATTAAACATTTGTGGGTGTATTTTTTTCTGCATCTGTGTATGTTGTAAGACCAGAAACTGTCGCATATTTTTTGAGGAGTCCAGGTTCACAAAAGTTAAGTTTCTTGAAAGTTGTTAGTTTAAACTTCATTGAATGCCAGTACAATACCGTACACTTTACAAGTAAATCAACTCTTACCGGTGCATTTACGGTATGTTAAGGTCTTTTGTGCGATCACTGATGAAGCCAAAGCACAAATGGAATAAAACTATGTTTCGGAGGCATCAACACAAGTGGTTTCAGATATTGTCATGAGAATTGATTTAATAATCCCCCCCCCCCCTGAAATTAAAACAAAAAATAATCGAAATATGGAGGTAAACACTGTACCAGGTACCTTACAAGAATCAAGAATGCAAACGTTGCAAGCCATGAAGAAAGCTGTGGGCTCCAATTCATGAAAGTTTCTCATTATACAGTAGTTCACAATATTCACATCATTTTGTGATTGGTTTATTATTTTGTCCATGGTCTACAGGTAAAATGTTGCATCAGCTTGCTCTACCAGAGGGAGCCAACACTCCCGTGACTTTTGGAAGCTTCCTGCAGGAGAAGAATGTAACATTAGAAAGCATTGATGGGGGACCATTCCATTATCCAACATGGGTAGAATCATCATATGATATGGAGGTACTTATGACTTGTTTTGTAAATATTAAAATGATTTTAGCTATTATGCAGATTTTGAGAAGGGATATGATCATTACCTGGAACCTGTACAGTTAAAAAAAAAGGTTCATTGTGAAGATATTAGTATTGACAAAGGTATTACCGGTATGAATAGAAATGCTATAAAGCTTGGTGGATGTATTTTAATGAAGAAAACCAAGAAAACACTCGTCCAAATTATCTAAGCCCAATTGTTTTATTAAAATCATTTTGGTGAGTTTTGATTAGCAATCAAAAAGGGTATGTTGCCTGCAGTTGTTAAAATAAATCTGATATACATTTTCTTTTCAAATGTCATTAACAAATTATATTGGTATTATCTACATATTATTTAATTTCCATGAACCATTTTTTATGTCCACCCCCCTCCAGGTATCAATGGGAGAGTCCAGGCTGATAGCTCCAACATGCATCAGGGCACTCAACACTTCACTGGAGGGGTTGGAAGATATGTGGGGTGAGGGACCTCATTCTATAAAAATGATGGTTGATGAAACAGAACCTGATACAATGGAAGACCTAAGAGATGTAAATATTACAATGGAAGTAGACGATACATCCAGTCAGGTATGTCTCAACATGATTGTTTTGTAATTATATGTCAATTTATATAGCGCAGCTACTATATGAATATACTCTGCTGCACTTAATACAATGTATCATATTATTACCCTGGCTGTATCTGAGCTGCCATGATAAGGCGTTAAGCATTTCAAGGAAATAAATTCCTGCCAGGTACCCATTTACATCACCTGGGTGGAGAGTGGCAAATGAAGATCAATGTCTTGCCAAAGGACATTAGTGCCGCAGCACTCGAACTGCGGACCTTGTGATCGACAGTCTGGTGACATATCCATATCTGATAAATGATACTTTTGTCACTCTTACACAGAAGAAATACTTAAGCTTTTGATTTCAAGTGGATTCGGCGCCTTACAAATCTCATATATTATTATTATCATTATTATTATTATTATCATTAGGTGGTATTCCGGTAGCGCGTACTAAGTTAGCGCGTACTTAGTTAGTTCACACTTTTATGGAGTGCCTGTTGCAAACTAATTTACCCTGAACAGATTATTTTAATCCTTCAATGAAAAGTGTCCAAAAAAATTAATTTTGCAATGAAATGGGAAGAAAAAGATAATATAAGTATGAACTGAATTTAAACAAAGTCTTTGGTAGATTATCTTTGTCATGAATATTGAAGGAGGAAGATGAAACCTAGCATTCCATAGAAGTGTGAACTAAATTCTTGTTTAGTCTGGACTTAGTCCCGGCTTAACTTATGAGAATACCACCCATTATCATTATTATTATCATTATTATTATCATCATTATTATTATGATGTTTCTGCCCAAAATGGCAGAAACCATTTGCTTGTAGTCTTAAAGTGACTCGTAACATTGCCTCAGATTCTGAAAAAAAATCCTGGATTTAGCTCATGCTGCAATCATAATTATATACCTTAAAAGGTCAGTCAGGAATCCCACGACTTTTACAAGCCGAAATCGAAATTTCAAAAATTGTTTTTATAACACTACAGTATGGTAAAACCAGTCAAAGATTTTTACTTTTTTGAGGCACTTCATGATAATTTTGAAGCGCAATTTATTTTAGGGCTTCAATATTAGACCATAACACAGACACTGATAACACGTAGGGCCATGCATCTCAGATTTAACATTGTTAAACGGTGCCTTTAAATGCAAATGAGTATTGTTTGCTGTGGTGAGTGTTTATTTCCTGTGATTATCAAAACCCTTCAAATAAAGACAACACTTTTCTCCTTACCAGGGTCCTGTCTTATAAACAGTTTCAATTAATTGCTAATCATTTGCAATTACTATACGTAATGGATAGGAGACTGTAAACTTAGGATTGATTGGAGGACTTGTGATTGATTTGGACCAATCACAACTCTTTATAAGACGGGGGCCCAGAACTCCACCCTCTTTTCAATATCTTACATTGAAAAATATACCTAAGATGTATAATTGTAGGAGTGTCGTGGTCGAGTGGTTATGCCGACGGACCGTCGATCACAAGGTCCGCGGTTCAAGTCCCATCACAGCACTAATGTCCTTTGGCAAGACATTAATCTACATTTGCCACACTCAACCCAGGTGATGTAAATGGGTACCTGGCAGCAATTAATTCCTTGAAATGATAAGAGCGCCGTAATGGCAGCACAGCTAAAGCTGGGGTAATAATTTCCAAGTTTGGAAGCGCTTTGAGACTAAATTGTATTTCACGCTTTATAAAAGCTGAGTATTATTATTATTGTTATTATTATTATAATTGATTTATGTTTTGACACAATAGAAGGACAACCAGTTGAGCCATATTGGGGGCATAGAGCGACTGACGGACGCAACCTGGTCAACCACCATTGAGAAGTCACATGCAGGAATGAAACCTGAGGATCTGCAGGCTCTCATGAATATTCATAAGACATCCAGAAAGAAAGACATACCTCAGACAAACCTTGTCTTCTTCATCCAAGATGGCTGCGGGAGCTGTAGAAGACAACAGCCCATGTTTGAGAGGGTGGCCAAAGCTGTCAAGTTCGTAGGTGGGTTTTCTTAAGATCAGAACTTATCATTTAGAATTATACATTTATATATTGCATACAGTTTGTTATTTAAAATTATTTTTATCCAGGATTTCAGTTGTACTTAAATTGTTATAGTTGTTTGGTGTCCAAACTTCTGACTTTACATCATCATCATAAACAAACCGCTGCGGTTATATCACTTGTGAAGAACCTTTGATAAGTTTCATTACCTTTTATGATAACACTGATAATTTTCTCTCTTCTTTGGATCTCCTTTGTGTTAAAATAATAATAATAATAATAATAATAATACTCAGTTTTTATATAGCACTTATTAAAATCACTAAGCGCTTCCAAACTTGGAGATTATTACCCCGGCTTTTGGTGTGCTGCCATTTCGGCGCTCTGGCATTTCAAAGAATTAATTTTTGCCAGGTACTCATTTACATCACTTGGGTCGAGTATGGCAAATGTAGATCAATGTCTTGCCAAAGGACATTAGTGCCGCTGCAGGTCTCGAACCGCTGACCTTGTGATCAACAGTCCGGCAACTTAACCACTCAACCACGGCACCTCTACATAGAACATGAAACATTTCGTTTTTCTCTTTTTTTGATCCAAGATGGTTGGTCTGCCTACGTACTGAACTGTACCTCTGACCTTGTGACCTGTGACCAGCTTCATGTCAGGGGATTTCCCTAAATTCTTTGAAGCATCTCTGCATATATCGCCCTTTGTTTTTAGATAGTAGATACAACATGAACATTTTTCTTTTTCTCTTCTTTTTCTCGATACAAGATGGTGGGTCTGCCTATATACTGAACTGTACCTCTGACCCCGTGACCTGTGACCTGCTTCACGTCAGGGTATTCCCCACATTGATTGCATTTCATACTCGTATTTTACTCTAATCATCTCCATGCGTATAATCATACTAAATTCTCGAAAGCACCTCTGCATATCTCCTTTGTGTTTAGATACAACATGAAACATTTTAAACAGTAGACTTACAGTTGCACCATGTGAGAGAGAGGGGGGAGGATTGGAGAGTCATGAAAAGGACTGTCTGTACATCACCATGTAAGCCAAACCTTAAGCAACATGAAACATTTAATATTTCTCTTTTTTTGATCCAAGATGGTGGGTCTGCCTACATACTGAACTGTACCTCTGACCCCGTGACCTGTGACCTGCTTCACGTCAGGGGATTCCCCACTTTGATTGCATTCCGAACCTTCGGGCAGTACAGCAGCGAGAGGTGTCTGTCCCCTGATCATCACCAGCATACGCTGCGCATGGACTACCATGGGGTGTTGGAGGCAAGTTATAAGTGCGAAGAGGACCGATACCATAAGAGTGACGGATTGTCCTGGGACCCGTTGCATTAAACTTACCATCGATGGTTACTTTGCCATCTAATGTCAATTACCATGGTAACAGAGCTCAACAGCCAATCAAAATCAAGGTTTCCATGGTAGTTACCATTGATGGCAAAGTTACCATCAATGGTAAGTTTAATGCAACGGGCCCCTGTTTAGCAAGTGCTAAAGCATCCTTTTTAAAAAAAATTCCATCCTTTTTAAAATTTTAAAAGGGTACAGTGAAAATGTCTGTACTTCTTGTTCAGTATAAGCGAGACAACTCCCAATCTGAAAAAAAATGACATAAACACATCCTCCCTTTTCTTTTATTACAAGAATCAGCTGTCATACAATTGTTTTCTGCTTACCGGTACTTATTTTCAGTTTAGGATTCTACAAACCCTTTTCTTCTACCACTATTCATCTTGTAATTAACCTTTTTGATAAACAAAGAAAATATACAGCTAGTGCCAATAATCATTGTTGTTCTTCCATCACTGTTCACTATCCACAATGAACCTACACAGAGGACTGATGAATTGACATTCTATTTAAGAATGCTACGACATACCTTGTGGCATTAATACATTTTTTCCATGTGATTGCCTCTGGATAGTATGTTAGAAGCCTATAACATCTAAACCAACTTCATTCTATATTTCCCCCAAATTTTAATGCACATTTATCTTATATTTTTGTTTCATTTTTCATTATTTTTTTCAGGAGAAGGAGTTGATGGAATGGTTTTCTGATATTGCTCTTCCAAGAGTTCAGATCAAGACACTTCAACAAGTCAAACAAGAACAGAAGGTATCTTATGTTACACATTAAAGCCTCATAGTAGTCAGACACCAGGGACCTGTTTCTCAAAGCCTTTTTTCAATGACAAATGACAAAAATCAGTGACAAATCTGCTGATAACCAATCAGAAGCAAGGATTTCAGTAGCTTATAACCAAGAATGTCATTTGTCACTGATGACAAGTTTTGTGAAACGAGCCCCAGGGCCCTGTCTTACAAAATTTGATATTGATTGCAACTGTGTACATAAGAGATAGGAGATTGCAAACTTGCAATTGATTAAAGGACTTGCGATTGATTAGGATCAATCACAACTCTTTGTAAGACAGGGCCTCGATTTGGTTAAATTACTGATTGATGTGTGCACATGTCTCTCAGGCAGTGAAACCGTTGTCCCACCAAAAAGTACTTTAGCTTGCCTTCATATTTCAAGGGTGAGGGAAATTACAAGAATTCCTTATGGTGGTAGTTTCAGGGCACATTACATTACGCAAGACCTGTTGGTTGTAAAAGTGAAGTCCACTCTTAGCGATTGACCACACCTGTCAAATTCCCAATGAGCACCCACTAATATGATCCTTAACAATTTTTAGCTATTAAAGCTGATAAGCTATACCGGTATATATATAATGCACTTATATTGCGCCATCCATCTAGTAAAACTATTCCAAGGCACATTATGAAATTAAGAAAGTTAGGAATAAGTATAACAAAAAGGACTACAGGATAGTACAATAATTATGTTCAGGTACTAAATGATTTCAAAAACAGGACTATCTTCAGGTTAGACTTGAAACAATAACAAGTTTCTAAGAACGTTTATGAGCTGGTAATTGATTCCATAAACATGGTGCAACATCAATGATTATAGGGCAATGGTTAGAGATGATATGAGATATAATCGTATAAAGTTTATAGATCTTTTTTAGCATGCACTGCTTGGATTTTAATAAATATGGATGAGGTTGATATTGCATACACATAATGAGATGAAATAAGATGTGAAATGAATGGGTTTGTTTGTTTGTTTTACCTGAATGCTAAGAAAGCCTGTGTATGCTTGTAAGTATCTGATGGAGGATAGATGGATTTAACTCCTTGGTAATGAGGATTAATGCCTTACCAAAGGGTACTAGCGCATCAACTAGATTTCGAACCAGGAACCTCCCTATTACGAGACCACTGAGCCAACGTGCCTCCCCCATGCATGGTATTATCATGAAATCACAGCTAAAGCCCAGATACGTATTATAATAAAAAATAATACATTCATGTGCAAAAATAGCATTTTGATCAATTGTTATCTTTCCTACCTTTCTGTTTTTGATTACATTTCTGTTTTCCAGCACACCAATGTTATCCTTCTCGCCACCATCTACCCCCTCTCTCTGGCTGGTCAGTACCTGAGGTCAGTGGGCGGGGCCGACAGCTGGTACCCCCTGGAGTGCTTCCTGGTCGCCTGCGAAAGGCTTTATGGGAAGGCCAAGTGCTACGCGGCGTATGGAGAGAATATCAGATCGAGCGATAGAGAGAGGACGAGCAAGGAGGAGAGATTGATTGTGGGAAAGGTAAGGGATGTAGGCTCATTGAATATCATATGAATTCGGTATCACACCCATTTTGGTCAGCTAGCTGTTACAGGTTTCATCATTAGGCAAAGTGTTTATTAGTGTGAGCATGTGTGTAATTTTGTTTTTTACAAACATGTTTTAATCAGATATGATTGTATAAGTCTGGGGACCGACCCTTACCGTTACCATCCGAAAGACGTGTCTCAGTCTCGAACCGGGGTCTATTGTGTCAGTTTGTAGGCCAAGACCGAGAGCTAACCAAGTGAATGTACCGCTAGACCAACATACATCTCCCTAGGCAAAGTAAATGAACAACAGTTACATTTTTGTCTTGAACAAGTAAACAGCAGTCTTCCACATGTAGATTCATACTAGAGATGGTAATTCCTTCATTTTTTAAAGATGATGATAATATTTACATTTACGTAACACATAACAGGTGTACATAAATACTTCAATGCAATTCATAATGGTATTGTTACTCCTGCATGGTTACTGTACTTTAAACCCACGCTGTCTGCAATCTTTTCTGGGATCCATTCTATTGCTGGGACTTGATCCATGACCCTTGTCATCCACGGCCCGTTGATTTGACCACAAGACCAGGCAACTGTGCAGATATCCATTCATACTATGTCTCGCTTAAAGGGATTGGGTATCTTTGGCTCAGATTCTGAAACAGAATCCTGGATTTAGCTCATGCTGCAATGATAATTATAAACCTTTAGGTCAGTCAGGAACGCCTGTCTAATTATCAAGATAATTATGATTGGAAATCGAAATTTAAAAAACGTTTTCTTAACGATTTTTAGAACACTGGTCACTCAAAGATTTTCACCTTTTTGAGGCACTTCATGATCATTTTGAAGTGCAATTTGTAGGGCTTCAATATTACACCATATCAAAGACAAGATAACACGTAGGGCCATGCATCTCAGATTTAACATTGTTAAACGATGCCTTTAAGCATTGATAGTTATATGTGTATCTTTTGTTTGGTGATCTGTGGCAGGTTGAGATGCTTCGTCAAGATGGGGTGGTGTCAAAGGTCATCACCAGTGGGCGGAGTCTGATAGCCGCTCTTCAAGCGGAGGCCGATTCCCAGATCCATAGATTCCATACTCCTCACAGGTTAGTATGGTCCTTGTCCATTGGCAAGGCATTAATCTACATTTGACACTCCATACCCAGGAGAGAATTGGTGACCTGGTAGGATGACGAAAGCATTTGTGTTAGTATTTGCTCGGAATACTCCCCAGGGAGTGGAGATGGTGCACATTGTGCAAGAATGAATCTGATGACTGGGGTAATGATATCTCTAAATCGCTTAGAGACGTTATTTTGTTTTCAGCAATAGATAAATCCAGATTATTATTATTATTAGTTTTATCTTTCCTTCAAAGATAATAGATGTATTTAGAATAATGCAAATAACAAATACACTGTATGAGCTTTAAAATTAATTTCAGATAATGCTCATAATAAAAACAATAATATTGGATATCTATATAGCGCACATATCCACCCTGCAAGGTGCTCAAAGCGCTCCAATATTACCCCCGCTCTGCTAGGCTACCGATTTCGGTGCTCACTGCATTCAAGGAGTTCCTTCCTACCAGTTCCCATTTACTTCACCTTGGTGGAGTGTGGCGAATGTAGATCAATATCTTGCCAAAGGACATTAGTGCCACGGCGGGATTCGAACCACGGATGTTGTGATCGACAGTCTGGCGACGTATCCACTCGTCCAGGATAAAGATGCCTCCATGAACTTTTAAAGACATTTAGATGAGATTACCTGTGTATAGCCCTGCTGCCCTAAGAAAAGGTTCTTTAACATTCAAGGAATTTCTTCCTACTGGTACCCATTAGCTCACCTGGGTTGAGTGTGGCAGATGTAGGTGAATGTCTTACCAAAGGATGTGCGTGATGTGGCAGTGGCTTGAACCTTGTACCTTGTGATTTGTAGTCTGGTGACTTGTCCACTAGACCATGCCTCCTATTTGGGTTGTAAAGCAATCCTATAATTTACAGAAAGAAGACCACAAAAGTAAACAAAGATTCAGTACCATACTTCCCTACAGAATTGACTTTGTTCAAGGGGGATCGGCAGTTAGTGCGAAACATTTAAGCTGCTTGTTTTGCTTATTCAATTCAATACAAATGTGACATAGTAGTATTGTAAAGAGAGATAGAATGTATTGCACATACATGGGATTATTACTTCAGAAAAAATAAAGTATTTTTCTTTAAAACAAATTAGACACTGGTTTCCATGTTACAAGTTCAACGAGTTCAAAAAAATAAGAAGAGAATTTGTCTTGACCTTCACTGAATTTGGCTGAACCCATATTTTTCAGGTACAACCTCAAGTCTGGTCAGCGGTGTGAGGATGACCATGCTGGCTGTACTGACCTCATCACAGACTTTGTAGAGGACCATAGTCGATTACCGGTCACTCATCTCACTATGACCTCATTCCATGCCTACTCCAGGTTAGTAACCTATGACCCGAGATCAGTAACCTTTGACCTGTTGACCTGAGGTCACTACATTGAAGAGAATACATTATTTGGAGAAATAAAGACCCAGTTATATATATATATATATATATATATATATAGTGTGTCAGGCACTACTTCAATGATAGTTAAGGGCAAATCTAAGGTAATGTTCCCTATGTAAAGAATCAAAGAAAAAGAAAAATCAATTCAAACAGTTTGTTAAATTGATAATTTGATTGAGCTGATAGCCTTACTAGCTAGGGCATGAGCACACCCAAATGTCAAGCAAAATCATTTTTCTGATATCAACTTATGTTCATTATTCACTTAAGTTTTTTCTATTATGTACTGAACAATAATGAAGAAATATGTCGAACTTACCATATTGATATTAGCTCATCTGTGTTTTTATTTTTCCTCTTTTATTCACCTTGCTGATATAGTGTTGGATTTGATTCCAAGCATAAGGGATCGGTCTTTAGGAGAGGATTACCGGTCCTTATTGCATTTGCTACCAAAGATCAAATGGAGGAAGGGGCTGTATTCCAACAGGTGGGTCACATTTATCTCTCTACCACGTTGTAGTTTCAATGTAAAAAAGTAATTCTTGTCATCGCTGTTTAAAAGAGACCTTTGTAAAATTGAATTTTCAACATTTAATACAGCTCATCCTGTGTGATCATTTTTGTTGGTGCTGTGTGGAACTTTACCTGGTTAGATGTGGAAAAGTGCCTTAGATGAGTTTGTTTCAATCTGAAACCATTTTTACTCTCTACTATTCGGGCCCTACTATGTCGACAGCCTATGATATGTACCGAGACCTAGGACCCGTCTTATAAAGAGCTGTGATTGATCCAAATCAATAGCTAGTCCTCCAATCAATCGCAAGTTTGCGATCCCCTTTCTCTTATGTACATAGTTGTGATTGATACCAATCACAAATAAGTTGCGATCAATATCAGCTCTTTATGGAATTGGGCTGTAGTCTTCACTTGGGTTGATGTATAATGGTGATGTGTAAGATTGGTCTCTTAGTTTAGTCCTATACCTTAGACCAGTAATAATCTGTCATACTACAGTCAAACCTGCTTTAGTGACTACCTGTCTACAAAGGCCACATTTGTTGTTTCCCTTGAAAATGGTTTCTCATTGAATCATGTACTAAAGGAACCTATCTCCAAAGACCACCTGTCTACAAAGGCCGCTTTTTGAGTTTCCCTTGGGTGGTCACTATAGACTGTATATAGGTCCTACTGTCAGCAGCCTATGACCTGTATCAGGATCTGGTTTTCATTTTGGGTGAAATGGAATCAATGGATGAGTTCTTGGATCTCTGAGGTTGTTCCTATCTTAGACCATCTAAGACCATTATCAGGCCTTACAGGCTGTACCAGGTCCTGATTTGGGTACAGTTTTTTCCTCAATCTAAGACCATTATAACTCTCTAATTCCATTTCCTACTGTCATCAGCCTATGATCTGCACTAGGACCTAATCTTCATTTTGACTGATGAAGATGAGTTCCAACTTAGGTCTCCCAAGTTTGTAGATGTAGTTGAGTTTCCTAGATTGTGTCAAAGATTGTCCTGTTTCTATCTAAGCTTATCATTAATCTCTCATACTATATAGGCCCTACTGTCAGCAGCCTACGATCAGTACCAGGACCTAGTCTTTACCTGGGTGGATGTGGATGAGTTTCCTAGATGGGTTGCTAGCTTTGTTCCTGTCTACTATCAGAGGCTTATCATAGGTAAGTACAAACATTCAAATGATGGCATCCTCAGGCTGCACATGATAATTCTCAAGAGGCTAGCTGGTTAGACCCATATTGTAAACTGGCCGGTCCGTGCACTATGCTCGCCCATCAGTGTGTTGGAGCACGGGTCTACTAGCTTGGCACGGACTGAACAGTGTATACAACGTGCCACTCTCTAGTGAGATTTTGAAAGGTTCCGTCTAGCAGCCTGATAATGCCATCCACTTTTTCTGATTTAAATTCAGGATAGAGCTATTTCAAGTGTAAAATTGATTAGCCCTCCTTCTTCAAGTTGGAAACACTTGTATTTTGGCCAATGTTGTATGAGTTTAGTAGAATGAAACATATCAACATTGGCACAAATTGCATCACAATGTTAAAACAATAAGAAGGACTGGACATGAAACAAAAAGCCACTCACAAAAAAAGGGGGAAAAGTGCATACTACTTTGGTGAAACTCTGCCAGCGCAAAGCGTTGAAATATGTTATTAAACCATTTAAATGTTGTGGAACTGAAATATGAATACAATTTCTGCTAAATTAATTGAACTTGAAATTGGTTGACACTTATACACATTGAGGAGACACAATGGCTCAGTGGTAGAGCAGTGGTTCAAAACCAAGGCAATGTACTAGCACACTTTGGTAAGGCATAAATCCTCAATCAAGCCGTCAGTAACCTGGGCGCTTACTTACATTTAAATTTAAATTTAGACATATACTTTCAAAATTTGTACCTTTTTAAAAAGGATATATATTACTTTTATACATCTGTACATTTTAGAGAAACTGAAGATTAGGTCTTTACTAATGTTCATTTATCATTTTTTTGAATGACTAGAACATGTGGAGGAAATCACTGATGAAATCCTGCCGTCCCTCTTCGTCTACCCTCGTCTCTGCTTGGTCAGACCGGATGACCATCGACATGCAGCGTTCTTCCCTTCAGCTAGGGGTTTCTCACTAACATCAAAGCTTGTGGGTAGGAATGTTGATAAAGATGACATTCTGTGGTTTGCAAAAAACTTCTTGGAGCATCCGGAAGAAATGCTAATGGAAACAGAACGTTTCTGAGAGATGAATGTCAAAAAAACAAATTATTTTGTTAAACATATCTATCTGAAATATGTAGAATGACAAGAAACAAAAATTTGCACTTAAAGTTGACAATCTAAAAATTTATTATTATTATTATTATTATTACAATTAATATTAAGTATTTGGCGTCACCTGTGCCTGGGAGGCGAAAAGCGAACTGAATTACTGTCGAACTTGAGATCTTTGGTTCGATAGGCAGACGCTTTACCGACTGATCCAACTCGCCTCAATTTTCAATACTGTTTCAAGTTCATTTGACAGACAGAAATGTATGGTGGCTTCATGCAGCATGGAGCAAACTGAAAACAATTCTCTTAGGGTCTGTTACGACCTTGATTCAGTGGGATGTGTGTGTCTATCAGTATTGGTGCCTTTCTTTTTTTTTTATAGTTTTCAGACAAGTTCCTTCATTTATGCTTGTCTCATTAGCCTAAAATGTATGAAGGATTGTATTTTCTACCTGAACAATGATCCATGATGTCTTGTAGACAGCTGATAGACGTCCACTTTACAATTACAATTGTATTACCACAACAACTCAATATTGTCATGCATGATAACAGGATCAGAGAAGAAAAAGTAGAATTATACAGCTCATCGTGTGAGAGTGATTGGATTGTGAGCATATTAGTAGACAAAAAAACACAAAATAGCCAAGACTATTTTTGTTCTTTGTCAGTCCTCCCCCCCCCCCTGCCCCCTTCTCTCTCTTTCTCTCTCTCTCTCTCTCCGCCCCTTTCTCTTTCTTTTGTATAAGACAGTCTTAAAGACACACAGAACGATCCAGGCACCTTTTACTGTATGAATGTATTACACCTGTCAGTACTTATTTGATATTATTGTATATATAGCAGCATGATATTATTGTACATCTACCAGTGTGATATTATTGTACTTAAACCAGAGCTAAACTCTCTATTTTCCAGATTTTGAATGAGGATCAAATGTGTGTATTGCTTGTACATAGTCATTAACTGCCCTGTCACATTGGAATTTAGATCAGCTATATTCTCTCTTCTCAGGAACATCTTATTCCGTCCATTTTGTAAACAAATAATCATATATAGTTTGTCATTTTGTGTGGTGAACATGCATTTTTCATTTCTGATGTAAACTAATTTGATTAGAAAATATGTTATTTGATTCTTTTGTGTGTGTGTGTGTGTGTTTCATTTTCTGACACAAATAATATATAATGTTAGGTGCCTGATTCTGATTGTCACGGTTTAAAAAGTTCTATCGTGAATATCATTTCTGATTGACTTTGCTATTGCTAGGGTTACCCTTCACTCATGTCGTAACTCTTGTAATATCTTGTTTCATGATTAATGTAATGATTCATGTATTCATTCATGTTATAATTCAATTAATAATGCATGAAATACTTCATGTAATAATTCATATTACTAAGAAATAGAACCATGTACTATGTTGATTCGAAACATTCCATAAATCATGATTTGGAAACAAGTTAAGTCTCAATATACAGTTGACAACTAAATTACTCCTACCCTTATCAAGTTTTGTTATTTTTTGAGTTATATGTATGTGAAAAATTGTTTTGTCCCAATTTATGTTTCTTGAGAATGTGACATAAAAAATTAACTCTAAAAGTATTCAACAAAGGCCCTAATTCAATCAGGCTTGAGTTACGAAAAATACACACAAAAAAACATCAAATTTACAAGGGGTATGAATAATTTAGTTGTAACTGCATATTCATCCAGAGTGTACATTGTATTTCAATTTAGCTTAGAATTGTTATAGGTAGGAAACTTTAGAGAGTGCAATATCTATTTAACGTCTATTTTGTGTGTGTGCTTTATAAATCTATACTGCCTTTCTTTGTATTTCATGCTATATTGTAAATTATTTTCTACCTTGACTATCAATATAAGAAATATATTGTATCATGTGATAATTACTGTCTATAAGATTTTCAAACATTTGATTATAAAAAGTGAAAACTAAATAAAATTGTCTTTCAGATTTCCCTCCTAAAATATAGATGTTGAGTGTGATAAATCTTGTTTGTAATGCTGCTATGCTATAACCCAGTTAAAAGGACAGAAAGTGGCTACAGTTTGGAAAAAAGGCTTTTGTTAATAAAACTGTAAAGTTACATGTATACTGATAGATACATAGGCAAATGGACAGATGTGTTTTGAGTTCCTCCTTTGAAAATGGAAATGATCCCCATAGTTCAAATCTGGAATAACTGCATTATATGGAAGTAAAGCATACTTCATAGTTTCATCATTTTTTTTTCTTCATATCAAGGAAGCCTAGAATCGTCTCCACTCTTTCCTTCCCTGTCTACAATAAACTGATTACATTCATATCTGTGGAATATCAAAAACAGTTCCCTTTTTTAAATCATTACATTTTGATCTTAAAGCTCCTTTTCCATTGGATGCAAGTCAGTGAATTGGAGGTGTTTTTGTTGATGGATACAAAAATGAATTGCAATATCCAATAATTTCAGGAAGCCTTTTTTCAGGGTTATAGTCCTAATAAAGTTAGCGTCCTTGTTATAGATTATTTCAAATTGGACAGCCATCAAGAAAGTAATGAATTCGTTAATTTTCTACCTGCCCGCCTAATTACCCTACTAACCAATTGAACGATGCACAGGTATGTTAGGCAAAAATTCAATGACATAAACCACGAACAACACCGATGACTCGGCAAAATCTTGTAGATTTATAAATGTCATGCAAAATAATATTGAAACTTAGTCTGTTGATCGAGAGAGAGAGAGAGAAGAGTGAATGGGGTGGAGGATGGATGGAGAGAGAGGGAGAGAGATGGGGATGAGGGATATAGAGAGTTAGGGAAAGAGAGAGATAGGGAGATAGGGATGGAGGTAGAGAGAGCGGGGATGGAGGGAGAGAGAAAGATAGGGAAAGAGAAAAGAGAGAGAAAGAGAGAGAGTGGAAGAGTGGAAGGGGGAAGTTATAGGGAGGGAGGGATGGAGGTAGAGAGAGCGGGGGGTGGAGGGAGAGAGAGGGAATGAGAGAAAGGGAGAGAGAGGGAGAGAGAGAGAGGGGGGAAGGGAGAGAGAGAGCGAGAGAGAGAGGGAAAGAGAGAAAGGGATAGAGAGAGAGGGAGGGAGAGAGAGAGAGAGAGAGAGAGAGAGAGAGAGAGAAGTAGTGAAAATGTTATTGAGAGTGGAGCAGAGAGGGATGGTAGATAAAGTGCGGTGATGGAGAGACCTTCACGGCAAAAGGATGTGGCCGGTAAGCCCGCTCACTTTGGTAACCCACCATTTGAAAGATGTTGTCACCACCTAAAATGTCGTGTAACATACAGGCAAATTGTCTGACCTATTAAGATTAGAAATTGGAGTTGGTGAATATTTAAAAAGTATCAAAAACAACGGTGAAAAAGTTTTATCAATCACGTACTCCCCCCCCCCCCCCCACCCTGAAATTCCACGCCTTCAAGTTGATCTAGGAAAATGAAGAAGACAAAATTAAATAAAAGCGAAAGAAAGAAAATAAGATCCACGACCTTAACAAAAAGAATGTTGTGATAGGTGTATTAGTTCCATGCCATCAAGCAATTGTTATCATATGAAAGATATAAGATTTTTAAAGATTTAAACAAAAAGAAGATATTAAATGATAGTATAATAATTACCATACATGATGATTACAATTACGCTCAGAAATGCTCTACAAATAAAAGCTTCACTTTTTAATATATGATTGTACTGCTATCCATGTCAGTTCAGTTGTATAGATTTATTTTTTACATTAGGATTAGATACCGGGTCCAACTTCGACTCGGATCTTCGACACCACTTACCCCCACCTCCTTCTCATCGCGAAACAACAGTTCTTGGTAAAAGTCACGGTTTTCGGCAAAATTAGTATTTGGGAAAGAATCTTGTTTTCTCTGCAACCTGCAGATTCGGGACAGCCCCCAAAACGAAACGTCTCGGCAACATCCCTCACGGTATGAGCATTCGTAATTACTTTGAAATCGAAATATTCCAGATCAAATTAGTATATTAGGTCATCCACGCTGACCGATTTCAGGCCACCGGCCATTTCTACTTCTCACTTCCGTCCACCCCATTGTCGTCTGCAGTGCTAATTAGACTATTTTGACGGCGACATAATTATGTTTGAACAATTTAAACGACTGCAATAGTGGTGTTTTGAAGTTTGAGACCATAACCAGTTGCCTTTACCTGTCTGTAAATTATGTTGATGACTTCAGTTTAATTTTCCTTAATTTGAGGTCTGGGCCTATATGGATGCAAAGACCTACCTTGCCATAATGTGATAATTGTACCTTTCATCGTATATCTATCGTTGTTTGTATGTTTTGATTTTGTTTTTGTGAAGCAGTGTACTTTTGAACTTACAACGAGACAGTCAAAAAGATGACTGCTACCAGCTCACTATTCACTATTAATTTTGTGTCTGTCTGGCTGTCACATCTCTTTCTTCAATAAGGTTCCGTTAGTTTATCAAATGGAAATCAATAATTGTATATGTTGGGGTCGATAATACTACATGTATATACAATTTTTTTAATTTAATGTTATTTACGTAATTTTGAATCTTAGATTTTCTCTTTGATTCGAACTTAATATAAATGCAGATCAATGAACTTCACATTCGTTTTTGGGGGGCTGAAAAGGAACTTCCGAGTTATTTGTTGCACCTCTCCCCCAAAATAGAAAATGAGAATTGAAAAAAACAAAACTATATTCTATTCCAGCAATTTTTTCATGAACACTGCTTTAGCTTTAACATTCAAGTTTCATAATTTAGGATAAAATAAAGAAAGAAAAGAATAAAGAAAGACGCAAAAGCAGCTGTTTTCGAATTAAAGTTCACTTTGAACATAATGTCAGTCAATGAGAATTGAAGAAAAAATAGCGGCTATATTCCATTCCAGCAATTTTTTTTCATGAACACTGCTTCAGCTTTAACATTCATTTTTCATTATTTCGGATAAAATAAAGAGAGAAAAGGATAAAGAAAGACGCAAAAGCAGCTGTTTTTCGAGTCAAACTTCACTTTGAACATAATGTCAGTCCTCTTTGCGCGGCAGACATGCCACATCGATAACCTCATATGGAAATGTTACTTTCCCGTAATAGGAAGTCTGGATTTAATGTCAAACAATTTTCCCGATTTCCTCGCCAAAAATAGTGGGAAAATGTAGGAAAAAGACACTTCAACCAAAGTATTAGAAAGTGGATTCGCCAACGTTACGACCTTTTGAAATATTTTATCCGAAACCCGTACAAAATTATCATTAAAACTTGAAGGTCTTCGAACAAACGAGATTGAAACCCCGTATGCAGGTTAATTCAAACAGTTTTTAGAGTAAAGGTCTACGGGGGCGTCTATGAGTTCATAGCTCGAAGAA